GGTTTTCGTTTTTTTAAAAAGTACTCTAAACTGTATAAATAATTTAAAATTAAATTGAATTTATTAGCCAATCAGACAAACTTCTGCCTATGAAATCAAAGGTTCTGATATCGGCAAATTTGGTAACTGTTAATGCCGACTCGGCTTATCGATTCTATAATCAAAAAACTTTTCATCTGTCCAGAATTTATGCATTACGGGTACATATCCACATTCAATTCGAATTATCAGATCTATCCAAATTAGCCGGATTACGGATCGAAACGTCAATTATTAATTCATCAACTTTGTAGAAAATTTGATATAGATAAAAACAATCTTCGAATTTAAGACGGTACTTTGTAAAAATATCAGGAAATATGATGTTCTTTATTGACCAAATTTTTTTCAATATCGTATTAAATAATTTAATTTTCTTAAAATATCGAAAATTTTTTAAGAAATTTGTAATCTAATATTATGCTAACTACTGTTTGGCTTTTAAATAAGGATTTCAGCGCGAAATTTTAGCTATAAAAGTGTAAGTAAATGCCTCCATCAAATTCTGATGTGCTACCAGATATGGAAGTGATTTAGAAAGTCAGATCCTTTAAAAACGGATCATTTTTGTTTCTAAGTAATGCCCATGTATGTCTCAAAATAATGTGCACTTTTTACAATATATTAATGTATAATAATAAATAGACTCGGAAAAACCAATTGATTTTTATCACGAAACAAAACGCGCAGATACATGTTATTTCGAGCCTATCATCTTAGATAATGACTAATTAGTCTCTAAAACCTTTTTGAGATCATTAAATAAAACTGTTTATCAGGCTAATCAAATTAACAACCCTGTCTTTTCGTGTTATATGAATATCTATTGGACCTTAATCCTGATCTTTGTTTATAGAATCCATTTCCGGTATGTTTTGGTCTTAAATACAAATATGTTATATATATTAACATTAAATTAACAAATTGATGGGTTTTTAGCTATGAACCCAAATTAAATGAAAATCTCAATTTCCAATCCCAAATTATGTAGTAATATCATCCAAAAAAATGGGTTAAACCACCCTTAATTCCAAGCTTCTACCCACTCTTCAATTCTTGTAACATTACTTTGCATGTCCTCTATGGTATTACTTCGTAGTTCAACCACGATTTCTGCTGGATATGACTCCCTTGCTTCTTCTAATATAACTTGAAATATTTCACTATCAATATTTTCCGTGATTTTTTTTTGTGAATAACCTCTAATTATGTTAACATATTTATTAGAATCAAAATTTTTTTCAAAAGTTTGTGTAATCTGTACCTAAAGAACATACCGGTCTTTTAATCGATCGAACAATATCGTGTTATCGGTTCTTAATACCAGAACCAAATCAAACCAACGTTCGGGAAATACTTCGCAAGAATGAAAATCCACTATATTTCCACCATTCGATAATGTTTCTTCTAATTCATCAACAAGCTAATGGTAATATCATCTTATTCTATTTTTATTTTATAAAGTAATAACTTTTTTACTTCAACTTATATTACCTTATCGTCATCTAAAATCCAGCTTTGAAATTCATGATCAAAACCTTGATGCAATGATTTTTCTTTAACTAACTCCCCTACATTTATATGAAATAAATCCGTCGATTCCGATGCTAGTTGGCTTAAAGTTGTCTTACCGGTTCCTGGAGTACCAGTTATGAGAATGTTGGGCTTTTTGCTACGCAAGAAAATCATTGTAATTACACAATTATATAACTATTCAAATTAACTCGGCAAAAGTTTTATATAATACCGTTCTTGAGTTCCTTGTTCCGAGTCTGAAGAATTAGACATCTTAGATTTCGTTAAGCTTCTCTAGCAAAAAAAATCACTGGAATTGATAATCATATGATCTACAATCGATTGATAAAAATAAATATATAGTCGGTATTCATAGGCAGACATTCGTCTGATTGGCTGATGTAAAGCAGCCCGGGTAACTTATTTATACAGTTTGAAGTACTTTTTGAAAACGTAACGTTTCACTAACAAAAAATCATAAAACAATAAAAGTCATTTCTAACTTCGAAAGAACACATTAATCAGTAACCTGAACTTCAAATATATGTAAGCTTTAAATTCTGGAAATGGTCAACAAAAAAGAAGTTTAAGAAGTTATGCGTAAGATCTAAATCAATGAACTTTGTTTATACCGTTTTTATACTAATATTCTTATTTTACGTATTCTGGATATTATAGAGTTGAAACATTAGGTAACTTCGGGTTAAGTAATAGATCGATAATATGTATATGAGTATTATTGTTCCATCTCTAATAACGAACATAATAATAAAATAAGATTAAGTTAATTTTTTCAAGAGATAATTAATAAGGCCACATAAATTTAATATATTGATTTTCATAACATAAAACTTTTAAACAGACCCGGCCGGCCGGGGGTTTTTTTTAAATTTCATATATAAAACTTCATAAAATTTTTATGAATTTTTTTTTAAAATCCCACCCGGTTATTAAAACATGAAATTTTTTTTTTACAAGTTTTCAAATTTTGACCTGGCCGGGTTATGAAAATCAATCAATTAATCTTGCATGGCCTAAATAAAGATAATTTCACTAGTAATTTATTCATGTATTAACTCTTTAATAGGTTCAGGTTTTTAATAACAAATATTACATTAATCCCACTTTATCTGTTTTCTCTAACTTTATGTTATAGATTTTTTGTATGTAATTATTGGTTCGTAAGCTTCTTTTAGTGAAGTTTTCTTTCGTCTTCTAGCAGTATTAAAATGATAAACGTTTTAAAAGCTATGTAATTTGATTGGTTAATTTTCAGGCAGATTGCCAAAAATTAATTAATCATATAATGTTTTTTTCTTATAAGTTTGTTAGAAAGTTACATTACTAATTATGTTTTTTTTTATTGTTAAGGTTGTACTTCGTGACAGTATTTTTATTAACATATTGGGGTTAATCATTACAATTATTTTTATAGCAATAAGAGTACAATTATTTATATATGCAACTGTTAGTTGCTTATTTTAAATAGTTTGTTTTAAGGTTTTACGTTAGTTGTCATGCTTATAATCTACTAGAAGATTATTTATTTAAACCTTCTGATTATTCATCTTGTTAATTATTTTTAACTGCTATGAATTATCTATATATATTTATATATATCATTTAAGCAACATATATATATATATTTTTTATATATATATATTTTTTTCCTTGACTTTGGCAGTCTTGCCAATTGCTTTTTATTAAGACATCATGTTTCCATACAAACATTTTTAAACTTAACATATTGAGTTAACATTCTGCAGTTACTTCTATGAGCACTTACAAACAATCTGCTTGTATCAGTTGTCTAATTTCCTAAGAAAGAAAAAGATCTGAGAGTGCATCTGATCACTACTCTACAATAGAATATTACCAATCTGATAACATCTTCTCATAGAGAAGTGACAGAAAACAAAAAAAAACTTATTATATAACAGAAAAAAAAACACAGAGATATAAGAAATAAAGATAAAAGATACAAAACAAGAATAAAAGAGAAAAGATGAAAATTGAAAGAAAAAAAAAAAGATATATGCAATTTTCACTATACAACTATCAGATGGTCACAATTATAAGCCTGTGTTGGGTTTTAAAAATTATAAACTATACTAAATAAAATAATTCTACTATTTTTCTATCTATTAGAATATTTAACAAAAACCATATAGGATAAAACTTCAACTTGAATATAAAGAGTTGACATAAGGTACTGGTTAGTCTGGGAACAGTATTTTATAAGGTTTTAGCAGTTTGAGGCATATGTATAAGTTGTGTTTGTATTGTTGTATTGTTTATACAATCCTGATTAGGAAATAAATACTGCTGACTGTTTTAGTATTTTATTTATTAATCTTTTGGAAGGAGTAAACTGAATTATTCACTTTTTAACAAAATTTTCTTCAAAAAAAGAAAAGGCATAAGATGAACCAAACTGAAGCTTTTGTGAATGCCTAACTCTTCTGGAAGTTTCTTATAAGTTTTATATTTGTATAGAAATAATATATCTAACATTATTGTTTACTTTATAAGAGATTTTTGGTTTTTATTAACTACTTCTTTTATAGTTTCAAAACTTTTTTAAACTATTATCACAAAGTCATAGTTTCTTTTTCAACTCTATTTCAATACTTACTATACTTATCCAGTGTTTCAGAAAAGTTTTCATAAAGTTTAATATATTAACTATATTGTTTTTCTGTAGTTTAGCATTTTGGAAAGTTTGGTCCAAATGATTATCAAAAAGAATCATATATATATTTTATATTAATATTTAAATTACTTTTTATAGAATGTGACGACCTAGTGAAGTGAATAGGTTGTCAACCTCCAAGTGGCAGGTCTAGAGTTCAAATCCCAGTGACAGCAAAAATTTGTAATTCTTTCTGTGTTACAGCTAACTGTCTTTCATGATTGGTTAGGATAGGATACCTGTAACCTGTATCATACTAACATGACTGGAAGGTTTAGGCATTTGTACAATATTGTATGAGGGAACACAAACTAGTACTAGGCAGTATGAACCCAAGATAAGTCCTTAGGCCATGTAAATTACAGAAATCAGATAGAAAGACAAAAGCCCACTTGGAAAACCCATGTAAAGAGATAACCCAAACCTTTGATGATGCTAATATAAAGACTAAACTTATGAAACAGAGCTAAAACTTGTGAAACCAGGCAAATGTGCTGGTCTTTGAGAAAGGACTGGATGAACCAACCAGGCCACCAAAAATTCTGGGTTCTGGAGA